TATTTAATTTTATATTAAATATTATATTAAAAATTTTTTATTAATAATAATTTTTATTAATAAATTAATTTAATATTATATTAGAAATATATTATATTAAATATTATTTATTTAATTTTGGGTGTTAGATTATTTATATATATAAAAATTTTAAATTAATATTAATTATACGAATTTTTTTTTTCAATGCTAACATTTCTCTCCTCCTCCTCCTCCTCCTTGTGATTTATTAAGGTATTCACGATTGATAATTGATAATTTAATTTTTTTACTTATAAATATTATTTATTTAATTTTGGTTGTTAGATTATTTATATATATAAAAATTTTAAATTAATATTAATTATAAGTGATACGAATTTTTTTTTTTTCAATGCTAACATTTCTCTCCCCCTCCTCCTTCTCCTCCTCCTTGTGATTCATTAAGATATTCACGATTGATAATTGATAATTTAATTTTTTTATTTATAAGTATTATTTATTTAATTTTGGTTGTTAGGTTATTTATATATATATAAATTTTAAATTAATATTAATTATAAGTGAATTTTTTTTTTAGATATACAAATGCAAATTCGCTCGATGAATTTTACTTATTGTGCATAAATGTTTGAAACTCGGTTTCAAAGGATTTTTACTTGGGAATGGGGGTAAATGAAAAAGAAAATCTTCTTGTTAATTTTTTCTTAGATGTTCTTAGAAAAAGTATGGTTAATTAATTTGGGATATTTCATACTGCATTTGCATCGTGTAGAAATTTTTAAAAATTTGCAATTTCGATAACTACTTGTTTTTCAATCAACATATAATACATTTATATATTTCATATATATATTTCAGCTTATATCACGTACAACTGCATGCAAGAAGCATCATCGTTCTAATCCACGCGAGAACAGTTTGCTCGCTAAAAACAATCGGATTACGGATAATGCTGGTTCCGGGAGGGAATCGACGTTAACACGTAAGCGTGGCTCGTAAACTTTTCATTTCGTGAAAGGAAACGCGATTAACGATGCATACGCGCTGCGATAATGCTTCGATATTCCCTGCCTGTTATTATTCGCTTTTACGGTTCATCGTTTTGTAATTAGAAGGAAAAAGCAGGAAGAACAAAATTAAGTTTTTCATTGGTAGAGAAGAGATATTTCGGAAATTATGCGGAATTATGCAGGAGAGAGGGGGAAGAGAGTTTGTTGTTTATTGGATAAGTTAATTGTGTGCAACCCTTGCGTGTGCACATTGTGGCTTTTTTCTTTTATGCTTCTTTCGGAAAGAGAATTGGCAATGAATTTAAATTGAACCCCTCTACGATTTGATTTCGAGCCAGAGGAAGATTTAATTTCATTTGGCAAAAGCAAGACGTAATCTTCTTTTTATTGCCTCGAAATCAAACTTTAATTCAATTTTATTGTAAAATTATTAAATTTTTGTTGATATATTCAGGTAAGGAAAAATAAGGTATTAATTCAAAGATTGTTAAGTTTTGCCCAAG